ACTATGCCATAAAAACACAGTGTACTTACGTCGCACTTATCTACTTACAACATAACTTAACAACTTATAACCTAAGTTACGGTCTACTTAAACTACACTTTAAGTCCATAAGTTCCGCGCGCCTTCTAAGCACTGCGTCCACTAGCGGCTTGTGATCTTCACTTTCAGCTGCTCGATGGTGTCCTTGGGATCCACGACCACGTTCAACAGCACCGCCAACTTCACCAGGTCCCCCTTCGTTCGGGGCATTCCTCCTCGGGGCCCGAGAAGCTCCTGGGCGAGATCTTCTTTCCGGCCATCCAGTTCTGCGATGGCCTGATGAGTGGCCTGAACTAGCGCGGCTTGCTGGCGAGCTCGGGTTGGCTTCTTCAGAGCCTTGACTCCGAACATCACCGCCTCGTCCTCCATGAAGGCTTCCTCCAATCCCATCCTCTGCCGAAGAACCTTGGCCTCGTTGAGGTGGACCAAGGACATGTACTCCATCGCCTTCGGTTGCCAGCGCTTCGGCCACACACGCCGTTTCACCATGTCCTTCAGCTGAGCTTTCCATTCCTCCGAAGTTGTCACCACTGGCAAGGGCACCGGCATGTAGCGAAGGAAAGGTCGCCCCTCCAATGCCATGTTCTCCTCGCCTGTAGTCGAAGTAGGAAGCGCTGCCATCGCGACACCACCGGGGTGAGGACGTCGAAAGGGCTGGGCAGCATCTTCCTCAGGCATCCAGGCCTTGCTTGAGCTGAAGAACTCCGGGATGTAGTGCGCAACCATGTTCAAGTCACCATCAGCATCACTCGAACGGTCGACAAGACGATTGCGAGCTTTCCATGACACTCGACCTTCACATTGAACCTCACAACAACCTCCAACTCCTACGACATGCCAAGACTGCGAAGTGAGCGTCGGCCACGAAGTGAGGGGGTTTGGGGAGAAGGTTCATGGAAAAGTGTCCTGCCCTCATCTTGCTCAGGGGAATCCAACCATCAGTTGAACCTTCTTGGAGGGAAAGTCCAAAGTCGCCCCTAAGCTCTCTAGGAAGTCCTTCCCAAGCAAGCACCCCAATGAAGCGCATGGGATCTCCGCCAACCAGAGGAGGACCACTTGGTTTTGCACCAGGACAGGAATCCTCAGCCTTCTTAGGCTTTCTAAGACACCGCCATTGCCAAACCTGAAGTAGGGCAAGGCTTCTCAGCAACCAAGCTCCTGATGGGTTCAGGGGCTCGCTCCAAGGCATCCTTCATGTGAGCCAGCCACTCAGCTCCGGAGTTGCATGCGGAGTCCAAAGCCGCCACAAAGAGCTTGTCAGGGTCAAGGCCCACTGCACTGGCTGCGCTTGTCGAAAGAGCCTCAGACAAGGAAGAAACCACATTGATCTCGTGGATGGTGAAGTGAGCAGTGTGCGCTTCACTCCTGTAGTTCGAGGACTTTGGTGAGGTAGTCGACGATGAAGTTCCAGGCTTCTGCATTGGTCTTGGGAACTTTGCCTTTGCCAATGCTCTTGCCTGCTCATTCCGCATCACTTGCCAGTGACCAGTTTGACCACAAGCAAAGCACTTGCCATCCTTTTGGCCTGAGCCTGAGCCTTTCTTGCCACGACCTTTTCCTCCCTTGAAGCCAGTCGAACCAGGTCCACGAAAACCACGATCTCGCTTGAGAGCATTGATTTGCGACCTCGCTTCACGAAGGGTCACCAATGCCTCAACTGCACCTTCCACTTGCTCCTCAATGGCTGCAAGGTCATCATCGCCTTGTGAACCATCAGCCAACTCGTCAATCTCTGTCGCAAGGGCCTCAATGGTCTGTTGAAGTCCCTCAAAGCCAGCTAGGCTTTCAGCATCTGTCGCACCACCGTCATCCTCTTCAGCTGGAGGTTCTCCTTCAGCTTCAAAGGCCTCGTTCTCAGCCGTCACATCGTCGTCATACTCAGTGATGTTGACCGAGCCACCAAAGCCTTTTCCGCCACGCCTCCAGGAAGGGGTAGAAGACGATGTAGTTGAAGGGAAGCTCCTGCGAAATCTGGACAAGGTAGAAGCCGTCAAAGAAGGAGGTCGTTTAACGAAGCTCCCATGTCCGCCTTCGCGGTGTTGGCTTCCATGTCCTTGGCCAATGGACTCTCTTCAAGAGGCGAACTGCCTCTCGTTCGCAGGCTCCATAGTCCTCGGTCTCGACGCCAAGGGTGGTCTCCAACATCTGTCGTTGAAGTTCGGAGAGGGCAAGCTTCTGCTTGAAGAACCATGCCTGCTCGCTAGGGTCCACAGTGATTCCTTCGGCCTTCATCTCTCCGATCAAGGTCCTGTACCGAAGAGCGAAGTTCGGCACACTCTCACTGCCACCACGACGAAGCTGCAGGTAGTACTTCTCCCGAAGCTCACCCTTGCGGTCTGTCTGTGACCTCCCAACCATGTCGTCCCAGGAGGCCAGGATCTTCTGGATTCCGGCGTCGTAGACCGCGGGTGAAATCTCGATCATCTCATCGGTCTCATCATCCTTCACCTTCTCAGCTGGAGTGTATTCAAGTTCCTTCGGGTCGAACTCCAGCGCGCGTAGTTTGGCACTTCCTGTCTGCCTCATTGCGAAGCGGGCAGCTAGGTTGTAGGAAGTGGTCTTCTCCAAGTCGATTGAGTGCAACCGCCATTGGACGGATTTCTTGAACTCTCGAAGCGTCTCGCTCCGTCCATCCCAGACCGGTATGTAGCTGTCAAGGCCTCGGTCATCCTTCTTCTCATCACTCATCTCCTCCGTCTCGAAGTCCACGATGAAGTGGTCCGCCACCAGGCAACCTTCAATCCCTCAAAAGGGAGAGGCTTTAAAGGAAGTCCGTGTCCAGGTCGTCCACGTTGTAGCTCAGACGTAGTCCAGACCACGAAGTCGAAGTTGACCAAAGCCAGGCCAGCACGGCCAAGTTGGGCAGACCGCCCAACACCAAGAAGTTGCGGCCAGCAGGCCAAAGCAAAGTCCGCGTCCACGAAGAAGACGAAGTAGCTCTAGCGAAGTCCACGCAGGGCAGCGCTATGGCACGAGGGTCGACAGCTCCGCTGCCACTGTAAACAGCGGAGGTTCAACTACACCTAAGCAAAGGGGTAAAGAACGCTCGCAGACTGTTCTGCACGGAGCCAGATGCTCAAGGCGCCTGCGGCACCAACAGTGAAACGAGTCCGAGGGGCATGAGTGCATTTTCACAATAATAAAGTTATATTGCCTGACTTTCCATCGGTGGACTGAGTCGAGAACATCCAAAGTAAGCATGACTCTACCACACCTTAATCTTGGCCTAAGCACGCCCAATATTCCTACCACAGAAAGAGGTAAACCACTATCGGCACTCTGCTGGAGGTTCTCACAAGTGTATATAGTCGGACATGTTGGAAAACAAGCTTGGCTTCTGTGTAGCTAGCACATCCGTGCCTGTTCAACGATGACGGCTAGCTCTGACTTCAAGGCCTCTCATTGGGGAGCACAGTCTACCGTGCAAGCATGGATAAGTTCAGAAATAACACAACAACACACACACAGTTGTCTTGAGGACACCAAGGACATATCAAATCGTGCTCGGTTCATGACACTATAACGAAAGCAACCTGAGTCAGGATCTCACAAGCAACAGCTTTTGCAGTATGCGATACTAATTCGATGGATAGTGCTTTCCTTGGTAGGTCACCCCTTCTTCCGATGTGAACATTATTCAAGGATGACACTCTTCGAAGCCTCCGGGAAGTAGATGTCGTATAGTAACAGGAATGAACCGAGTGTAAGCAACCGTCAATTTTCCAAACACAACCGAAGAATAGAAAAGAAAAACGAACCGTTCCGCCCTGTTCCGAGGTCAAATCAGCAAAGCGCTTGAGTATAAGAATTTAGATGATGCTGTGAATTACTGTGAGTTACACCATGTTGCTCCTGGATTTGCCATGGAAGATCTGTGACTATTCACTATTCCTTGTCATGATTGTCATGCCAGCCTCAAAAAGTTCCCCCCCCCTTCACGCGCTCCATCACCACATATAGAAATCTCTTGTCCTGGAAGGTCATTAGTCATTGGCAGTTACCAAGTCGTTTATTCATAGATCAGCAACATGTTTGATTGATTTGCGTGATCATTTGTTCAGGTGACTCTGCGATAGACGCACAAAGCACTTGTCGAAGGCCGTTTCAACTGCTGTTTCTCATGAACATGTTCGTTTGTACAAGATCACCATTTCTGCAATAAAAGTGGAGTGGCGGTCTATGGAAAACTTACTTTGTCTGGACAGAGTATATGTCAATGTACACACAGTGACAAGCCATGGTTTTCCGTGGCTGCCACCGACTACATCCGACTACTAACTATCGTCCTTTTGGCAAGAACTTCTTGCCGTGAGGACGATAACGACGTTCGTCAGGGTATCAGGCACAAGGTGCAGCAAGGCCAATAAACAAGGTGCAACAACTGCAGGGACTGTTGCTGCCACCCGAAACCTAAGGAAATTGCTCTAAGCGACCTTTCAAGACGGTCATTCAATGCTGCTCTTCCTGCTTCACTGGCCTCAGCATTCAAAGGTTGTAGGAAAAATTCAGAAAAGAGTGAACAAGTGAGAACCAACCATCCAAACCTCCCAAACCAACGAACATCAATCGAATGCAGCTCTTTCGAAGCTCTCCTCCTTTTCGCAACCGAGACCGCTCGAAAGCGGTGGATTTCGCACCCAGCTGCGGCTGGGGTCTGCGGCGAAATCAAGACATTTGCTTCTAATCTGGCATGGCTATACGTAAGGACTGGGGTGTCTGTACACTTCATCCGAGGCTGATAATCACAACAAATGGCTCTGTGTCTGCATCTGATTATGTTCAAAGTTGTAGTAGTAACAAGAAGCTACTAGTAACAAGTGCATCGCTTCTAGTAACAAGTGCCTTACTAGTAGTAACAAGAAGCTACTAGGAACAAGTGCATCGCTACTAGTAACAAGCTACTAGTATCACAATGTCCGGACCGAAGTACGACCAGCCAGCTTTGTCAGACCTTTTTGGCCTTACAAGTATGCCACCCGCTCATTCAGCTCATCCCTAGGGTGAACACGGAAGCGGAACCAATAGTCCTCACCAACTGGGAGCCACAAAAATATTGGCTTTCAATGATTCTCTCTTTCAACATGCCTAACATGGACAGCCTCAAACACTGCCCAATGTCTGCCTTAAATAGAACTTTGTGTTTGGAAAAAGTAATCGATAAATTACCCTTTACGCTAGTTTTGTGTTGGTTCAAGTTTTATGTTTGCTTGCTGTTGTTTGACGGCGCGTTTCTTTCAGGCCTACCTACACTTCTATTGTAGATTTCTCTTACATTTATATTTCCTAGTCCACATATATATATACAAAACATGTTATACAATGTAGCTAACTGTTTTGTGCGCTTGCACTCTCTATGAAGTATTAAACAGACCCTCCGTGCTTAGACACTGGAGTCACTTGCCGGGCATATTATAGAGAAATGGTCTCTACAAAAAATGGGTGGCAAAGGATAAATTCAATCACTGGCGGATAAGTTCAATGACTGGTACTGGTGATTCTATAGATTACAAAGTCAGATCCAGCAGTAGTAAAATAACGTTTGAAGAATTGAGAACTCAAGCCTCTATATATAAAATGATAAAGCCAATCTCAATAGAAACACAAGAGATCTGAGATCTCTATTTATAAAATGCGAAACAACTCCAAATGCTCTCACCGCATATTTTTCTATAAAATGCAAGTCCAGATCTCAAGTTATCTCCACTCCTCTATAAAATGCTCGGCAAGGAAGGGTTCACAAGACATGCTAAACAAACACCACTAAAACCAACAAACATCCTCTCTACCGTATAATATAAAATGCTGTCAAAGGATCCGGGAAACTACAAGTAACCGGCCAGTCTCTAAAGAACGAGGGTCCAAAAGGCATTCTATAGAGTCAAATGATCGGCATTGTATAGAGGACCAAGCACAAAGGATTAAAAAAAAACAATGAACATGTGTTGCCAAACTCCCATGTTTTTCATCAACATCCCTGATTCGATTTCTTGCATCCTGAGAGGGAGTCTGAGTCGGGTTGTTTCATACCTCGTAACAAAAATATATTTGGCAAACATTATATAGTTTGTGTCTTTAAAGCTGTCGACTATTGCCCAAGCACACCCCGTGAAGGCACCATACAACAAATAACCCCTTCCGGCACTAATTCTAAATTATGTTTTGGTTCGTAGATTATGGAACTCTGTTGCGTTATTTCCTTGATTCTTGATTCCAACACGAAACTATATATATACTCTATATAATATAAGGTTCTTTTTGGGTTGATATGGCGTGGAAGGCTCCCACCGCTAGTTTCCCTTACCAATCCAAGCACCCCAAAGCGACTCACAAAGGATATCCCCACGGACACGCTGTGCAGGCTGTGCACAACACAAACTCAGTACTAAATAGAACTGAACTGAAGTTTGCTGATGCAAGATGCCTCCAAGGGCGTCGGCATCTGCAATTTCAAGCACTTGCTCGCATTGGATTCAAAGCTTGTTGCTCCAATCGGATGCATTTCTAGTTCCAAAAAAAGAACATCTGATTCCCTTTAGTTTCCCTTTCACCAATTCCTATTTCCACAATCCCGAATTCAAATGAACATTTCTCTGATGCCATTTCATTTCCATTTCATAAAGTCCCATGTTCTATTCCTCCAATCCCAAAAAGAGGACATCTGTTCTGATTCCATTTCATGTCCCTTTCAAACAACCTTTTTGAGGTGATGCTGCACTATTTAGTTGCATACATACAAAAGCGGCTTGTCAAACAAAGATGGGCATTACGCAGCAAGCGTTTGTCTACATCACAATAACATGCACTCACTTGCGCTCATTCAATCCGCACAATTTCGACCTCTTTCCCCTGGCTCCTCCCAAACCTTCAAGTTCACCTGCACGAGTGTCGGCCCGTGAAGCATCGAAGCGCTTCGAACAAACGGGCGGCGGCAAAGTTCCAGTCAACAACATGGCATATATAGACGGTGTCTGATCAAGAATTGTTGCTCTTCAACATGCTGTTTACTCGGCAGCTCCTAGTACACACGGCATTCAATGAGATGTGACCAGAAAATCATGTAACATCTATTGACATCAAACTGCACTGCCTACAATGTGCAAACTCTCGACGTGTTCTCTCTTGGTCTTTAGCAAGAGCCTTGCTATATATATATATATAGGTCAGGCTGGTGCCCGATGCCTGACAGGGACTTGGTCTCAAAGTCTCGCTTGTTGGCATATACCTGGACTGCAAAGCCAAAAAACACAATGACGTGTCTGCCTGAGTGAAGGGCAGAAACAAGCCAAGTCAAACAATACGAGAAGGTTGTTACTCGTTGCATCTCGTTGTTATATAGGTGAGACCAATGACTTGCGCAGGTATGCAAGCATTGCATTTTATTTGACACGTTGACACCAAAAGCGCAAAAAACACCAAGGCCTTTCATTGAAGAAGTCTGGAGCTGGTCCTGGCGTCCATAAGCTGAATCTGCACAGTCCAAGCCGAGTTCAAGCTACAAGAGATTCACACAGGTTCTGACTCACAAACCAGGTTCGAACTCAACGCCCTTAGACTTGTTACTACTTTACAGCATCTTCCAAACTACTGTAGTACGTTGGGCCGGGGTGGATGGTTTGAGCAACACTCCATCTCAGGGCAACAGTGTGGCCGAACCAGCCGAAACGGGTCCTGCCAGAATTGCAGACCACAATGACTGGGTCACAGGTCTGACCTGTCAATTGTATTCAATTGTCATCGTTAGTAGGTTAGAGGCCATCGCGATTAGGTTCACTCTCCCCGTCCAGGCTTTATGGCCCAAACATCTAACGCCACAGGCCTGGCTTCGCTCCTTCTCACAATCGCCCAAGAAGGTACCCCATCGATTCCTGAGTGCCACTCAGAAACCAAATGAGTTGAACCATCCAGAATCGTAACCCTTTCGAATCGATCCCCATTGTCCGGTGCACATCTCCCCATCCTTTGTTGCTCCACAGAGAGTCGAGGTGTTGAAACACCAACACCACCACTGGGTCCACATCCGATCCCATCCGATCACCCAACGCCACCGGGAAAGGCACGCAGACTCGCACGGTTCAACCTCCGCAGACTCGCCAGGACTCGTAAGGACCTCACGGCTGAGGTGTAGCAGGAGAGCTGAGCTGAACTCAAAGGCAGCAGGGAACTGCACGATCAACTGGTAGACCTTCACAGTGTAACGTGTTGGACATGTAAACTGCATGTCAGGTGTACAAAGCTGGAGATTCTTCCCAAAACGGTGCATTTGTTTGCGTTGGCTGAATCAGGCTTGCCAAACCAGACTAGTAACTAGTCTAGAGCATGCATTCTAGCCTGTGTCCAATCTGGGCAAAACAATGCAGCCAATTGTTCAATGGCGCTGCGGTGCGGCAACAGTCACGAAATAGGTGTCCAGGGCATCTGATCACTCTATGCTGCCAAGTTGCGCACTCTAACCACTGCAGGAAAATAGGGCTGTACCTTTATCTGTCGCAAAAGATGTATACACATATTATATAATTGTTGTAACATTAACATTATTTATTATATAGTAGTACGTATTCTATATACCTAGAAGTGCCTGGGGCAACAACTTTTACCTTAGTGCCATTCGCCCGGAGGATTCGTGGATTTAGGGAAAATCAGGATTTACGGTTACGAATATGCGAAGCCAGCCGGCACCTTTTGCGGCATGAAGGACTGCATGTAGCCTTCTAAAAGCTATCGCCACTACAAAAAAGGATCAAATTATTTGTATATGTATATAATTGTATATATATATATACACACTATATATATGGTACTGCCCCCGTGGTGCCTAGGATTTTGGGAAATGAAGCACAATGCACAACTGTACCACGCATGTACGTCCACTGAACAACAAGAAAGCAAAAAACAAACCTATGATCCAGTCAAGCCCATACCAAGGCTTGGATTGATGTGTTTTAAAGCTATCAGGGGTTAAGGTATCAAAACGTATGCACATCAATGATCCGCTGATCCACCAAATCAAAAAAACAAGGACAAAAGCAAGGTCCAGTCCAGTCCAGATCAACCTTTGGTGGGTTTCTGCTTCCGGCCCTCAGCAAACAATTAAAAACAAAAAAATCAAACCTATAGCCAAAGGCCTAAGTTTGATGCCTTAAACTTGGGTCTGATTTCTTCTTTGTGAGTCAAACCTCTGCTTCCTACCCTTTGCTCTCACTGCGTTTTGTGTGATACCCTGTCACTCCTCTATTCAAAAAGTAAGCGAACCGCAGAGATATGTCCACAGATTTGGTTCTTCCCAGATTTGGTTCTTCCGAGATTTGGTTCTGTTTGAAGCTTTCTGAGCAAAAACGGGTTGGATTTCGAGGTGACTGTCCCGTATAATTTGTTGTTTTTTCTCTAGAATTGTATACCTACTTACAAGCAAAATACCTTCCTGCAAGTGTGCAGCTTGACACACATGGTTCAAAAGCATCCAACTACACACCTCGCATCTGTTCTTTAAAAAACGTTTGGTTACATTTTGGGGCAGTTGTTTTTACTTAATGGCATTCTATTTGAACGCTGCGCCTTTTTGTGAAAAACACCCTTTCATCTGAGAACAAAATATTTTCCTGGAACAAACAGGTATTATTTTTGAAAGAGTTTCCTTAGAGCGATATCGATCTTGAAAGACATCAAATCCTTGCAACTGTAGTAGACGTGTTGAAAAACAATGTTCCTTGAAGGTAAGCATTTCTTACAAACCTGTGGGTTTGAACATGTGTGAGTGTGTTTTTGCTTGCAAACCGGTCTCCGCAACAAAATGAACTGTGCTGGAATCCTTGATAGATTCCTATGTCGTAAGAGGGTGCTTGCGCAACACATAGGTTATTCTTACGCGCTCCACAGGTTTTCTTACGCGGCATGTGGGGGGAAGTGGAGGCTTACGCCACCCTTACGCAGCCAGACTTCGCAGACTTTTTGCGAATCTGCTGGGAACATTGATAGGGCTTCAAGATTTACTACTTGCAGAAGCATGCGTTCCTTCCCGCAGTGGCACGGCTCACGCAAGCGCACTTTCCACCGAGGCCGCGCAAAACCGCATGGCGCAGCGACATCACAAACGTCATTTGGCCACACGGTGTGCGACTGACTAGATACAACAGTGCACCACCAAGCCTCATGGACACCGCCAAGAGTCCAAGAGCTTTTCCTCGATGGACGTGTTTTGTGTTAGCATATATGAGCAGGGCGGCAGCTTGTCTGAAGTGTATATTTTCGGGCCAGTGTTGGCAAAAGGCTTTGGGTTTGGGAGCCATGTGGGCTACTACTCACTGACGCTGATGAGACTTACGCGCTGCCTACACGGAGCTTACGCGCGCCTTACGCGGAACGTGCCGTGACTCTCCTCGATTTTTGTGAGAACCTGTTTCTAGAAAACACAGCAGACCTCCTCAACCAAATCTGTTCTCACCTGCAAACCAACAGACACAAAAAAGCCTACGCGGCACAAAAAGCTTACGCAACCTTGCGCACTGCAGTGTTTTCCTTACGCCCCGAGCTCTTATGACAAGACCCTTACTCATTACAAGCAAGTGGGTTTAGGGCATGGCCCAAATGGCATTCCCAGGGTAAACAGTGCAGTGCATTAAAAAACGTCTCACATGCATACCGCAAAACAACATGTTTCTACTAGACTATACTGTATACCTTTGCAAAGATGACGGCCTTACTTTGAAAAACACTTACTCAAAACATATTTGCATAAAGGAGTAAACCTAACGCCAAGAATATGTCTCTACTATATACAGTAGAAGAGTAGACTCTGAACAACCTGCACCAAACGGGCTCGAATTATGGTACGGCAAGGACTCTTTATGATGCAAGACCACGGTGTTGTGCTGGGGCTCATGTGAAGGACATTGCATTTACAAGTTACATGGTTCCTATTCAAGCCTGAGGGTGGTAGATGTGTCAACTTTGGTCACCCTTCAAATGTACTGTTGCAAGGTTTGATTTTGTTGCGCATTGCTGTAGTTTCATGGAACAGATTTTGAGCAAGTAGTAGGCAATAGTTTTCATTTGAATTGCAAGTTTGTTGGTCTTGAAAATGTTTTTAAAATGTAATTTCAACATAGCATTGCCAAGCATCGTATGAGGTAAACAGGGATACGTACAACTCTCTTTCCGCTGGGAAGTTGCAGCGGTTTGTGCCTGAATCCTAGGTAGCAGGGGTAGCATATGTATGTACATATATATAACTTTATAACTGTATATCTTCCATGGTTGCATACAACATATATATATATATCCTTTCGCAAGGACATAGTTTCACATCTCAAGATCTCAAACCCGCCACCAAGGGCTATTTTGACAATGTTAATGTTCAACTCATCACATTCAAATAAAGGCTACAACATATGACACGGATGTCCAAGCCTTTGAAAAACACTGGTTTGGCAAAAGTTCCATTTTGCCAAGAAATCCACTGCTTTGCCGCTTCCCCGGATATTTCTGCCTTTTCACGGCAGATCTTTTCAGTTTAGTGGCTTTACTCCATGTGTGTTGATTCAGCAGGATAAATCTGCAAAAGCAAAGAGCCACACGACAGTAGCCAGAGACAGTAGCCAAATTTGCATGTGGAAGTAGAAACTTGAGTGTTGACTGCTGCCATTTTCCTCAGTGAAGTGAAGGTTCCAACGAACACAAACAGTTTTTCCCTCGTTAAACTTCTGAAAGGAAAACGTGCGGCAACAAGATTATCTGCAGCAATACGGTAACTGCCACTTCACGACGCGAAGATCCGTTTTTCCATAGAAAAGGCCGAGCCTTTTGTCGAAAGGACCTTCCACGTATAAGAGTGCAATGGTGTGAAAATCTACACTGTTAAAGAAATAGACTCTTTCAATAATTCAGAGATATTCAGAGTTATACAGTTTCTAGAGACTCGCGCAAAAGATATTCAGTCATGCACTACATGGGTGGTGTGGGTTACGTCACATCAGCGCGTGAAGTAGCATCACTGCATGGCCACGCGTGGAAGCGTGAAGTAGCATCAGCACGTGCGAAGTCACATCATGTTGTGTCAATCACCATGGCCACCCGTTCACAACCTATGTTTGGAATCTGACTTGTTTGGAGCCCACGCCTGTAAATTTGCAGTACATGGTTTTCACTTTGGAAGATGCAAAAATGGACTACTGATCAGAGCTGTGTCCCAATGTCCACGCGGTTTGGAAGATGATGTTGGTGCCAGGGAGCTGCGGTGGGATGTGAAGCCCCTATGGCCACGTGACCCAACCACTGTGAAGAATAACGATTTAAAACCCTTCCTGCAGATTGCATTGTGAGGAAGAGGGCAGCCTGAGGAATAGTGGCTCGTTGTTTCTTGTGATTCTTACAAAAGAGGCCTTCAGTCAAAACACGTGCTTGAAGAGAAAGCGTCTGTGGGGCTACCCTGTGATGCATCTTGCTGCAAACTCTGGTTTGCAGCGCTCCCTCACGCTTTCTTCGGCACTTTGGAGTATTGCTGCTTGGCACGGTTCTGCTCCCATGCACTGAGCCAAGAAGCACGCCCATGTGCAGTCAACAGCGCCCCCGTCACAACGATGTTCTTCTGAAACTGTTCACGCAGCGGATTGATCTTGCCAGCTGCTGTTGGATTGTTACATAGAGTTCGTCAGGAGATCTGCTTTCTCTTTCTCTTGGCGGTGAGTGCCATCTTGGTCCGTCTTTGACACATGGCTCTCCACGTCGAACAAGGGTTCTCCACGTCTACAAGGAAGCGCTTCTTTGCCTGCAGTGGCATTGTTGATGTGACCACTGGAGCCAGAGTCCTTTTTCAACAAGATTCCTGAGGTATGTCTCCGTCTGCGCCAGCTCTAACAGGCTGGCCTTCTCACACGGGCGCCTGATGCGTTTGTTAACGCACGCTTTGTGCAAGAATGTGTCTTCGACCATTGCCCGAGCACTTATAACAAAAGAGAAGTGTGCCAACTAGACAACGGAATGGCAAGCTTCCCAAGAGATTCCCTGCCAACGCGTTGAAAGTCATGACTCTCCCATACATGGTTGAGTGTTCTTGGAGAGCTGTTTCAGCTTCGGGCGCTCGTATTTTGCCTGCCACCCAAGAAAAAAAACAGTGCAGGTATCTCGCAGGTCTGATGTCTGTCAGCCTTCTACTAATGGAGATGCTTGATGAACCAAAATGAAACTTGGTTTCATGAGAGGTAAACCAGTAAACCCGCATACAGTAACAACATGTAACAACTCAAGAACAAGTCTGTACTTTATCCTATCCCCCAAGGCCACGCGGTCGCGATCCGACTTTACACAAGTTGATGCGACTTAAGTCTACCCCCAGTATCTCTTGCTTGCTGCGTGTTGTCAAACGCCTTCGAGACAATGCTCAATACTGAACACCCTTGCAAGCACTACGGCCGCAATGACAGTATACTCCTCAAGATTGACAGTGTACTTGTGCCAGTTGCCAAGTTTTATATACTATGGTGCCATACTCACCAAACTTGCTGCCATGTCACTCGCTGCTAGGCTTCTCGCCATTGGCCAAGCGGGTGCGAAAGCGGTGGCCAAAGGAGCAAAACTCCTGACACCAGCTGCCATCATATCTGCTACCAGCTGCTACCAGCTGACACAAACACCAGCCTTTGGAAAGTTCATACTTTTGGTGGGCATTCGGTAAACCCATGGTTTCTGTATGGTGTGTTGTTGGCTTGGTGGTGGTTGAATCTGCCGGACAATCGCAATGATGAGCCTACCGCCCTTTCTCTCTTCATAGAGGAAAGCGGCTCCTGATTTTCAAATTCAGAATCAGGGTGTGCGGTCGGTACTTCCATCGAAGTGTTAGAGTAGTTGCTTCTTGTTGCTTCTAGTCTTTGAAGAATGATTCTCGCTGAATTCCACTCAAGGCCATCTGAACCATTCAATTTATAAACCATCTAGAACGAAAGCACAATGTCGTCCGCTAAAGAGGCCGAGATGCATGATCAAACTGCTTCCATGAGAGTGACATTATACAAATACAAGTATAGAACATAACTCTATCGGCTCCCTCTATCGGCTCTTCAGCGGCCACGCAGCCGATGCCCGCTTCTGTGCAGGCTTCCAGGTGACTTCACGGCTGGATGTTGCTTGACTGTTGCCAAAACCAACTATCGGCATGGCATCTGCACCAGACTCAGGGCCCCTTGGCCATGGCACGCAAATGATTACACCGCCAGGGGCGGTCACCGGGTGGTTAGAAATCTTGCCTTTGTCCTTCGCTCACACTGCGGCTCACCTGACCAGCATCTTTTGCACAAGGACCTTCACAAGGAGTGGAGAGACCGACAGTGGAGCTTTTGCATGTTTTTACAATGGAACCGAGCAGCCACAGCATTAGCGCACTGTCCAACCACGCTTCCAGCAACATCCAGCGGCCACAATTTCGCTCAGTAGCCACCCTTCCACCCGGATCGAACCCAGCTTCGCGATGCTTCGCTGCTTCCCCGAATGTCCTGGCCCTGCGAAGCCACAACGGCCGGACTCATCAAACGAGCTTGCAGAAATCCGACGGATTCTGCATGACAGGTACCCACCATAACTGTCATCTCTTGCACCACAAACATGCTCTTGCTCGGCAACTGCACCGTGGCAACTTACGTTGTTTCGTTGATTGAAAATGACCTTGGTCAATGGCCAACGATCAACAACGTACCTTTCAGTCACCTTCACATCAGCAAACGCACAAAATGTGCCTACATGCTACTCGGGGGTTCGCTGGCCGACCTGGCTTATCACCCAAAAAAGTATTGCAAACATGGGTCCCACCCAATTGTTTGTTGTTAGCCCACTCCTACTTAAATATATATATATATAACTATATATACATACATGTATATAAGTAGGCGCCTACTTGATTAAGTACGGGACGCAGGATAGCTCACGCTTCCCCCGCCTGCGGAGTTTCCTTGAAGAAGCGCTCGCATTAATGAGTTGCTTCCTAGATTTTTAGGGAAAACAATTGCAAGCATGATTTGACTCAAACTTCATTCAACCATATGCCATATGCCCGACCAATTGAATCACTAGGCTCCAGTGTCAATCACACTGCGTCCACCACGAGAACTTCAACCACACCAAGGCTGCCTTTTGGATCAACAGCAGCAAGCCACGCAAGGTGCGGTAGTGTGGGTCCATGCATAGCATGGCTACCTTGCCAAACAAAGTGTCGTGCACTCTATTGAACTTCGTAAACTGCAAATTTTGCCTTCCACAGATTTGAGACTTTTAACACATGTCACATTCTGCTCCACCACCTGTCTTGCTACAGTTGCTTCTTCTTTTCGTTTTGAAGTGTTTCATGCATACATGGTGTTGCTGCTTCGTTCCGTGGTGCAGCGATACAAACAAGCTCTGCCATATATGTTGTGGTAGGCTCTAGCATGCCACGAGAGGTGGACGGAGTGACGTGGAGTATACATTTTCTATCGGTGTTTCTACTGACGTGTCCTGTTTTGGACCTAGCTAACCACAGATTCAACAGGTGAAGCAGCTCGTGATATATCTTGACAATGCAGAACATTGTGTTTCGTTCCTTATCGTTTTACCATAACTATATAATAATATAATATAAGTTATTATAAAGGACATTCTTAGCAAGAGTGAGGTGCAAAGACTCAACTCATGAGCACGGGTTTCTTTGCTTTCTCAATTGTGTGTAGCTCATCATGCTTGCAGCTTCTTGACTATCTCTGTGCACCTTTGAGCACAACTGTGCCCCATCTGAGGACCCGGCTGAACTGACTTGCGCAGTGCGGTCCCAACCGTCTGAGCAATGGATGAGCACGTTGCATTTCAACACGTCCTGAGTGCACAAACCGTCGACACCTAATCGCCACGCTGCCTGAACATCACGGCCCTAAATGAATGATCATGTGTCTTCAATGCAACACCAAGATCAGCAAGCAACTGTGTCAAGGCACAACATATTGATTGCCAAGTAACAATCTCGTGGATCACCAAGTTTGCGCATTGAAATATGGCACCTATGATGTCGTACCTAAGCAAAATAGAAGTGTGCTGGCCAGTGGCTCCACTGCACGCCAGCAGGACAGCTCTTCTAGCTGCCAAGCGACCAGCCGGAGTTGGCAACATCTTTATACCAGGAACCAATCTGCAGGCGCAGAAAGTTGGCAACTCTGATTTTTTGAAATGATCACGACAACAAGAACAACGTTAACAGGGTTTAATGTTGAGCGCTCATGCCACACAAAGCACCCACAGTTGTATTGTGCATGTGACGTGAGATGCAATTGTATGGTGTGTCCCTGCAGCACCAAAATCTGCACCATCTCAATTGCTTAGCGCATTTGTGTCGTGCAGCCTCCAATTGACACAGTCAACCGTACAATCTGATATCTGATATTGATGTTGTCAATATGCCATGTTCGCCTCGTCATTGCTGAGGCCTGCTACTGCCTGTCCCATCTTTTTCCAGGCTTCACCTTGGACACAGGAAATCACTGAGATCACAGCCAGTTAATTCAAGAAGTCAAGAACATTTTTGATCATATTTGCATATCACATTGAATTACATCTCATGACAAAGCAGGCTGAGCAAAAGCAGGTCACGCCCGCTGCAACGGCCCCGCGCGATTTGCGCGTTCTCACATGCATCTTCGAGTCGTTTTTCACAACCCCTCTGGCACTTTATGGTGATGCATTTTTTAGGTCAATATCATTTTGAATGCGTTTTTACACCACAAAACGCCTCTCAAATCGTAACTCCATTGTGAAATGACAGTGCGTTCGGGGACCCGGAAGTAAAAAAGCGGATTTTTTTCATGAAACCTTTATTATCACACTTCCACTCCCTCAGGCGTGCCACTCCTTTTCACGCGTTCTACTCCTTCTGTCCCATCTGACCCAACTTCTGCAGTTGGTGCTTAGACGGTGTATTACGGCGCCACACAAAGCTATACATATATTCTTGGATCTGTGCATTCAACCCGCCATTGGATCGTTTGGATGCCAACTCTTTCGGGATACACTTCTTCAGGGATGACCATTTGCGGTCAATACATTGGGTGCCATGCTTCACTGCAGTTGGTGCATTCATTCTAATTAAATGATGGGTTATCACGGGTCAGACCTTGCTTAACCACCACTGGGAATATCAACTTGGTTTGCTAGTGCAAGCGAACGTTAACACCCCCCCCATCCCCAACGTAGTATCAACTTGGTTTGCAAGTGCAAGCGAACGTTAACAAACCCCACCCCATCCCCAACGTAGCATCAACTTGGTTTGCCAGTGCAAGCGAACGTCAACACACCCCCCATCCCCAACGTAGTATCAACTTGGTAGCATCAACTTGGTTTGCAAGTGCAAGCGAACGTTAACAGACCCCACCCCAGCCCCATCCCATCCCCAACGTAGCATCAACTTGGTTTGCAAGTGCAAGCGAACGTTAACAGACCCCACCCCACCCCATCCCCAGCGTAGTATCAACTTGGTTAATGGCGAAAACGTGGAAATTCTCCGGGGCCGTTAGGGGGGGCGTGAGCAAAAACATGGCATGCCCTCCCCCATCGGGCACAGGCAAGAGTCGGACACCGTGCACGTTGTCAATGTTGCCGAACACTAATCTCAAGCCAGCATAGCCTCAGCAGCCACGGTATTCAAGAGAAGTAAAATTCCGATCTGTTAATAAAGGCGGTCAGTGGTCAGCAACGCTGGCAACCTCGTATTTGGGTGTCTTTGATGAGGGACTCCCGAAGTGATCATTTGTCCATGTGTTTCTGGTTCAATAGTATTGATCAATGTTTGCGAATACCAAGACACTTTCAAAGCCGCCACCATTGACTTTGTTGGCATATGCAGCTTTCCTTCGCAAGAGAAACAAAAAGCGAGATGAATCAATTGAGAGACCCCTTGCGATACATAGAAACTGAGGTTGCAATGTCTCAAAGCTTGGTGCCTTACAACCTTCTTGCTCAGCCAAGCTCAACTGTCACCCTTGTGTTGCCGACAGTGGATGAAAGTGGAGTGGTGCAAAGAAATCCAACGCAAACGAACGATTTCACCCCGTCTTTGGTCGCAAGTCAAGAACGAGAAGGTCTCGGTCTTTGCCGCACCTGGCACGATCGATGCACGAACGATTTACGAAGAAGCCAAGCAGCCAGTCATGACTCCGTGAAGAGATCAGGTCATGCACACGTTCCATCTGGTAAATCAACCCTGAGGCACCATATACCAATATAATTATGTTATATACTATTTGCAATAGGGTGCAAAGTCTGGGCCAGCTGGCCAGCCTGATGGATTTCAACATCTTCTCATCTGATGTTTCCAGCTGCCCTGCCAGGCTGCCAGGATCAAGTGCAATTTGAACATGCAACCTGGTCTGGTGCTTAAATCAAACACACTCAGCTCTGCAAATTACGGTGGCCAATAGACGTGTTTCCCCATGGCCTTGCCTAGCAAACCTTCCATCGGTTGAGAACAGCGCCAAAGGGAGGCCCAGCCAGAGTTGCACCAGCTAAGTGTTGGAATGCGTCCTGAAACAACTGTTTGAATTGCTGTGCCATCCTGTGATGTCATTGCCATCTTCTTTTACCATCGTTGCGAAAGCCATGGCTTGTTATTCCTCTTGCAGGATGTGCAAAACGAAAGAACGCCACACGGCACCGTCTCAAGACTGGGCACCGTGTTTTCGGAAAGCCGCCGCACGCCGCAGGTGCTCGTGGCTGGTTTCTGCAGGCAAGACCAATACTGCTGGGTACGTGTCGCAAAGCTGGTAGTCGCCTCGAAAATGAGCAAACCCAGTGGGTTGCCGAGGTGATCTGTGTGGGTCATTTGTTGTAAGATCTTTGTCCCCAAACATGTGCGTCAGAAAGAGCAATTAGCGTATGAACATGTTTGATCTATCAAGAGGTGTAAGGCTTTCGGACTTTGGCAAAAGCATCCTCAGAAGTCAACACAAATACCTTTCTCCCTATACACCCGTCGCATGCTCTGCAACAATAGAGCCATCCGCATTAATTGTGAAGCAATGCCGCTGAGGATCTGTTGTAAACACCTGAGGAACAGTTCCAAAAGCAAAACAACACCTTCCTTAAGCCGTATGCTTCAATGTGTCACCCAAGAAAAGTTGAAACATACTGGATATCAAAATCTATCCACGATACCAATGCAAAAAGAATCAAGCGCAAAGAATAGCCGAATGTCACTTGGAACGGATATCCGATGTATATAGTTTTCATTATCCCTCAAAAGAATTGAAGAGTTGAGGGATGTCCTGAATGATGAAAACACTTCTTCCTGACCATGTTCCTCTTTGCCTGGCTTTGTATTGGGGAGCAAAAGAACACCAGAGTCACTGCCCCAGAGTGAAATCTCATACCGCCCTCCATTTTCCATGAAATGACGACAAGATGCTGATTTTCCATGGGCAGTTTGGGCCAATGCCAATCCTGCAATTTCATGAGAATATCAGATTTTGTATGGGAATAAAGGCTAAATCAACCAACAAGGCGAAGGAAATACTGTTCATCCAACATCATCAAACTGTCCATAACATAACATGAAATCACCAACAACACAAAACACTCTTGTGGGATCATTCTAGAATATCTTAGACCAGAAAAGGCATTTGGAGAGTCAAAGACAAGGACTCGCTGGAACTCTTGCCGCTTGACTTCGGTCCTCTGGAACTCTTTGCCTGAGAGAGTGCTCTGCCACGCAGTGCGAGTGCACATGTCAAACGCAAAAATGCAGTTGCTAGTACCTTCTTGCTCCTAGTAGTATGGCCAGGAGCCCCTAGTAGCGTCCTTGCTC